AAAGAGACGGTTGTAATGCTTGGTTGTGCTGAAAGAGGAAAGAGCATTGCAAGTAAGTTTTTTGTTGCTTCTTTAAATACTGGTTGTGATCGGTGGCTTTCGGCTACGTCACTTTATTCGCATGAAATTCCTGCGGTCCAGCGTCTCTTTCGATTCCCGACCCATGTTATCATGGCAGGGGCTGTAGCACATGGCGTGTAACCCCTGACCATTCTCCCCTGTCTTTTCGATCTGTCAACATGCATGAAATTAAAACAAAGCATGTCTATGTTTTTTCAAAAAGTGGTTTTATAAAAAACTTTAAAGCATCACCGTAAAAATTAAAATTTAATATTATACACATGACTATAAATTATCTAGTATTTAAAAATATTTTTTTAAAAAAATAAATTGGAAAAAACTGATAATATTTCAGCATTCAAATTAGAACGTTAAGGCTGACAATTTAGTGGATAGAGTTTAATTAGCATAAGATTTTTCAACAAGTTAATAATTAAACTTGTATGAAACATGATAATAAAATGGAAATGATGAATAAACAAAAGATAAAGCACCGTTTTAGACTTCACAAAATTTCACATGTTATAACAGCGAAAATATCCAATGCAGCTTTTTCTAAATTCTACAATGGCAAATAAATCTTCAGCTCTTTTTTTTTATTTGTGGCAAAGGTTTTTAGCATAAGCAATAAGAAAATAATCCGTTGACATCGGTAAAGATTTTGAAGATTCAAGAGTGAAGCACTTTGAACAATATTTTTTCTAGTCAATTTTCAGCCAATCAGTATAATCCAAAATAAGATGATACATGATTAAAAACTATAACATTTCTGAATGTGATTTATTATAAAATTTTAACTTGACTTCAGAAAATAATACTAACAAACTTGATCAGTATTAATACTATTAGACATAATGCTGTAATATGTAGAACGATTTACAAATGTAGTTTATGCCATAGCCCTAAAAGCTTAACATTTTGCAAAAACTTACGAGATATTCTTACTAATCAAAAATATTAATTCATTGCTAATAGAAAGTTGGTTCATTTTTTGCCTATTTCATATTCCTAGATGTTTGATTTGCACCAAGTTTTTTAATATTATCAACTATTTTTCAGATTGACACAAAGTTTGATTTATAATGTCAAACTTTTTTACTTTTTAATAAGATCAAATATCTACATAAAATAATTAATATCACGGCTGATACTTTAAATCTATTAAACCTACTAAAATCCACATATACTTTTTTATTAATAAATCTAGCTCTAAACCCTAACCTAATTCTAAAAAAAGGGCTAAAAAAATGCACACAAAACATTTTTAAAATTTCTTATCAAAATAGGTTTGATTCTCAGCATCAGCCGCGACAATTAATAAACTATTTGAAATTAATCACCTTTAAATTCTTTAGGCCCGTATGTAATGATCGGGGTGGTTACGTTTGGTTCAGTCACGTTGCATATTATACATATTAATGAAAACCTGTATGATTATTTTTTACAGGGGGGTCACATCGGGGCTGGGCCGGCATTAAGCTAACTTAGTCTATAGCAAAATTATTAGCCAGGCATTTTTTACTTAATGAATAGGCTATGACTTCATTAGGAAAATTTTAGTAAGTTAGTGATGTCCAAAAATATACCATTTCGTGTAACCCGGCCTCCGGACCCAATTAATTATGCCCGAAAATTACCAAATTTTAGCGAATTTTACTAATAAACCCGCTAACCGATAAGCTAAGTAAAGTTGCTCAGATCGTAATTTTGCATAATATTAGCTAGCTTGCATTATGCTTGTATTAGCGCTTCGTAGGTCCAATCCGAAGTCCAGAAGCTCGGGTTACACGAAATGGTAAAATTTTTTGGACATCACTAACCTACTAGAAAATTTTTAGCAAAATTAGTCAATTCCGGCACCTGAAACCTAAAATTTGAATCATTTTAAACTGATCCTTAAAATTGTACCCTATCCCTAAAATAACAAACCACCGGAGTCTAAAATTTAAAATTATTGCTTTTAGTTTCATTATACTGATATTTTTTTTGGAAGCCTATTACATTTTAATAGGTGCTCTTTTAGTCAACTAATTAAATTAATGGAATTCTTTTCACAGTGACTACACTTTGTTTTTCAATTTGTGAAATTTGACCGGATTTAAAGGTGGTCTTATGGATAACAAACAATTTATTTTTTTTAATACTGGTAATCATAAATAATGAATTGCGTCATAATTTACAATAGCAATAATTAAATCAGAATGTTTTAAAACTCTTTGGATGCAGACTGATGGAAAAGTTCAGCAGAATGAATGACAATAGTCTTTTTGATTAGAAAAAAATATTAGAATTATATTAATGTAATTATTTTAATAAATATTTTTACTAACCTTATCTCGCATGAGATTTTCAATTGCCCTAGGTAATACATCAAAATCACAAAAACATCATGGAAGAAAAACTTGTCAAGAAGGATCATTCGATACATAGCTTCATAGTCTAAGTCCATCACAAAGACACTACATTGAACCCCTATTTTATAATAAAAGTTTCAATTATGTTACATATATTAATTAACATTTATACATAAAAAATTTATACTTACCCTCTATCAATAGACCGCAAATAGAAATGCCTTTAATATTAATTCCATCATTGATACACTTATCTATAACACCCTTCATCCCATTCCCTAGTTTAATTAAATCATCGGAAGTTTCCTTGTATGTTGGCTTCACCTCTGCTACTAGCAAATACATCACTTTATCCTTGTAAAATGTATAAATGCTAAAATCCAAAGTACAACTAAAAAGATTATTGTCTGCAAAAAAAGTATCAAGTAATAATGCTAGCATTTTATGAATAAAAATATTCTCTTTCATGATTGCGTTGTTTATTTCTGAAGAAAGATATCTGAAGCTTTAATTAAATGCAATAATTAAATTATATATATATTAAAACTATTAATATTGGAAATTCATTTTAATTAATCAAATTATTGATCGATGTGTTTTCCATGAATATACGTCCAAGAAAAAAAACACTTGCATAGATTTGAAAACTTCTAAAACCACATCCTCCTGATAGTCTTCGATCTCTATTTGCCATTGTCTAAGTAATGATCTACAATCTTTGATATTAGTTGCTACCTGTTTGAACAACCTATTTAAAATTTTATTAATTTCAAGAAAAACATTTCATATTTGCAAAACTATAGCATTTTATCTTTGACATTTTGTGGCACCTTATAATATCACAATCAGATAATTCATAAGAAGCAAATTTTATTTTAATGCTTTTAAAAATATCTTCCCATAACTGCTTATCGAACATTACTTGAATCCCAGTTATGGCATGTTCATCAAACAAGAAAATGTGATTCAACGAGCTAGATATTAAAGCATATTATTAATTGTTAAGAAAAATATCATATTAAATATAACAAGAATAAATATAATAATATTTACAGAATCTCTGACAGAATCTCTGCAACATCCTTCATAATATTCTCTGATGCTTTCTCAATCGATAATTCATGGTAGTGTAATAAAAGACACGTAATATCGATCGTATCAACGATCCACTATATGTAATATATATTAATCAGTTTCTAAACTCTTATTAAAAAAAAATAAATAAAATAAAAAACTCAAAAATTTAAACGCTACTTGATTTGAATCGCTATTTAATAATCTGCCATCTGACTCTGATATTATATTGATATGATCCAATTCAACACCAATTGCTTTATTTGTAGATGCTCTAGATTCTTGATCCAAGCTTATGAGTTCAAGAAATAGATTATTAAGGGGGTCTTCAATTATTACTTGAGGTAGATTTGCTTCAGCTAATTCTCAAAGCGAATCTTCTTTAATCACATGGTTACTCCACATTGATTTCTAAACCACAAATAAACAGTATAAATATTAATTAATTCATTGCTAGCGAAGATATATTTCAAAGCCATCAGCACTAATGATATCGAGACAACCATATCTAATCAAAATTATTTTATTTTATTCTCCAGACATGTAAAATTAAAATAAAAAAATTTCAGTCAGATTCGAATATGGTTGTCATGATATCGCTAGTTAGTGGCGCTAATATATTTATACCTTTTTGGTTTTCGTCTTGAAAGCTTGTAGATCTTCTTCATTTTTTAACATGGTGAGCTTGCGTTTATTATTTGATTTTTTTGTAGAAAAATAATCATCCTTATTTTTATTATTCTTCTATCTCTTTATAATAAATAAAGAAATTTGATTAGAAAAAAAAACACTAAGCAACAATAAAATAGTTGGTGTGTTGTATTAATGATAACTAACAGCCCTCAACATATGTATACATCCTGACTACAATTTTTCTTCAAAATTATAGAAGTACTTCTACCATTGCATATAATTAATTATATCAATGACAGACTAATGGTAATTAATTATATCAATGACAGACTAACAGCCTTAGCATATGTATACTCTTAACTGCAATGAACAAGTAGTTTAACACCAGGTAAGACAAGTAGTCACTTAGTGTATTGCAGGAGTCTAAATCTCTTCAAATTGTGATGGCAGTTTTCAATCATTGCATACAACCCTATTTCAAATGTTTTTTTATCATAGTATTATACATGCCTTTAGGTCTTTTAACATTTCTGTAGCTTTTTGCTTTTCGTATATTGTTGCGTTTTCGTGACGCAGCCGGGGCGGCCCCCCCCTTAGTGCGGGGTACGGGGCCTCGCCGCCGCAGTCATTTAATAATAACTGTTGTCTATTACACTAATAATT